GGAGGGCATTTATGTGTTTCAAAAGTGGGTTTGATATCTCTCTATATCAGCACGCGCATTGAAAAGTAATCATTTAGAACCAGAAGTAATTGTCGGTGGAGCCTAAACCCACACTCTATAGTTATCGTTGGGGCCAAAATTGGATTATGTAATCCCAAATTATTCACTTATAGTGTCGACTGTTTATGTAACTAAACAGTGTACCAGGATTACTTAATTTTGTTTGTTATTTTACTTGCTTTCTGAAATATTTTTGAACAAAAAAGCACTAGTTTCCAAGGGGTGGAGGGTGGGGGTAGGGTGGTGACAGGTTGTTGAATTGTCACCATTCTTTTGTGTGGATATATACAGCCAGAGTGCATTGAAGAAAGTGTCATCAAATCCTTAGCATGGTTTGATACACATTTAAGGGCAGCCAAATTTACTTTCATGGTGGGGCAAAAGCTACCATTTTGGCACAGTGATCATACAAAAATACTTGCAATCTTTTGTTTAGATAAAATGAAGTATTATTTGTTTTTATTTTTCAGATAACGGCATGAGAATTGATGCTTCATAGAGGAGGAAGAAAAACATCAGCATGGGGTATGAGGTTGTAGGCACCTGGAGACAGTTCTTCCATTGGGGTCCTTTATTGGCACTGGGAGTCATTTTTACCATCAGTTGGGTGACAATACGATGTGACCTCATGTGGTGGCCTCCACACCTCAGCATTGGAGGCTTCATCAACTTTTTATTGTTTGTCACATGGGTGGCACTTACTTTGTACAATTATTTTGCTGCATGCATGAAAGGACCAGGATTTATCCCACTCGAGTGGAAACCGGTAAGATTTTATTCTGGTTTAGAAATACGGTTCACAATGATGCATGTGCATGATCATTGTTTGGGTGCTATATTTTAGGACCTTTTTCTTACTGTTTAAAGTTTTTTTTACCTTTCATTTTTCTTGGAAAAAGAATACTCACTTTCTGAGTAATTTTTTAAAGCTTTCTCCATATGTTATTATAGTTTTAGAGACCTGCATTGCAGAAGTTGTTTTTTAGAATGAGAACAGTGAAGTAGGGGAGAAAAAAATAGAGGATCAATATTTTGTTTTTAGAGTGTGAAGATGTTAATATTCCAGTTTATTTCTTCACAGGCGAAAATTCTGAGAAGGTGGCAAATTTTAAAAACGTCTCTTCAGCAGTCTGTGTCTTGTTGTCGTAGGGGAGTGGAATGTAGCTCTAGAAATAGAGAAAGTACTCATATATGCATATATGTATATATATTATATTTACTGTCAAACCTCATTATTCCACTTCCACCTAACTTGGGACAGGCAAGAATGTAGTGGTACAGCGGGGCTGGCGGTATAATGGGATAGCACTGATTGCCATTTTTACTAGTGGTAGACTGGTGGAGATTAGAGACAAACTGTACCCAGTTTGAACTCATCTAAGATGTGATTGGCAGGTGCTCTGTGTGTGGTTTATTTGTTCCTTCTTTCCATCTGTCAAACATCTATTCTCCTTATCTCTCCTCCTTCTTGTTTGTGTTTGTTACTCCCTTGTGACACTTCTAATCGTCGACACTTATATATATAATATAAATATATGCTGTATATTTATAGATATATATTTATATATATATATAGATATATATTTGACCTTATTGTGTTGCAAGTGCCATAAACTTACAAAAACAAACCAAAAAAATGAACTCATCTAGATCTGTCTTGTGCAGCTGCCATTGGCAGGGAAAACTTGCACAGCCCTAGCTAAACTTTACTCAAATTGAAAAATTTCTGCTGGATCAGAAGCTAGACTACATGTGTCTAGAACCCTGTACACTCACAATTTTTTGGGGGTCAATACTCGTCAGTCCTCGGGCCGCCTCAGACCTTCCACGTAGACTTGAGCTTGAGTCCTTACAATGATAAGAGCGTCACCGGTGCTGGCCTTCCTTTTGGTCATCAGGCTGATATCTGGCGATGACAGATATTTTGCTGACAAGCCGAGGTGGCGCAATTCTTTTGAATTTTCTCCAGGCTATTTAAAAATTTAATTCCCTTTTTTTTTTTTAGATATTGGCTAAAGCATAAAATTGATTTTATATTTAGTGCTAATCAGAAACGAATCTACAACAAATGCAGGAAACAGGCATGGCAGAACTTGCAGAGACCTGTGTTGGAAAGAGATTATCATGCAGCTACCGGGTGGGTGCCGTGCACCGTGTGTTTTATGTACCTCGAGCGGGAATTTCGCTGGCTGTAAAGTTTAATAACGACCATACAACTCTGACAGTTGGTGGATGGCACTGTAAAGGTGCAAATACTATGTTTATATAGGCATTCCTGTTCATACATTGGCAAAACCTGGCAGTTAGTAGGGCTGGCGGTATAACAGGGGATGGTATAACGAGGTTTGACTGTGTACCTAAAGATAGAATCAAGATATTGTAACCGAAGCTTATTTCCCTCTTTACAACCTTCAGTAGTATCAATAGCTTTGTTAGGTCATGGTACGTCATTTTTTTGCCTTCAGGAATTGTAATCTTGAATTATAGACTGTCTTATAATTCTGACTGTATGTCTTTCCAGAGAAATCCTGATCATATGAGGTATTTACAGTTTTGTGAATGTTGCCAAGGCTACAAAGCGCCACGATCTCATCATTGTAGAAAATGTGGGAGGTAAGATTTTACCCATAAGAAAAACTGATATGTTATCAAATAATGGAAAGCAAGGACACAAGACAAAAATGACTGAAACCAAGTAAAAACATTAAAATCTCAGTGAAAAGTGAGGATATTGGTCAAAAGTGCTGAGTAATATCATGGAAAGAGAAAGCATTGAGACATAGTCTGTAAATACTGTAAATGTAATTTGTCTTTCTCTTGGGTTTCCCTCAATTTGTAAAGGTCACAAACTGGGTACAAGATATGATTTTTAAAATTATTATTATTATTTTTGTTGTTGTTGTCTCTGCAGTGCTGTGAACTGTGAATGTCCCAAAAAAAAGTTTTATGCAGTGGAAGAGTGGGGAGGTGTCATCTACTTTTATTATGCTTAACATGTATTTGAAAGAAAAGTTTTGTATGTTGGGGAGATGGGGAGTGCTTTTGCAACATGTGTGTGACATGTATTTGAAAGGAAAAGTTTTTTTATGGTGGGATGGTTGGGGAAGGCATAGCTAAAATTTGTTGGGGATTAACAAATGTGTTAAACACATCCAAAATTTGTTTTAATCGTTAACGAAAAATTAAATTAAAGAGATATCAAGTGGGGAATGACAATTAGTTAAAACTATCCGTGTTCTCAAGTTTTCCATGTTTGTGTTAGTTTTTCCCAACTGTAGTTATCTACTTTTATTACATGTATATGTTTATATGTTATGACATAGGAGGTGTATTGGATATGAAGTGTTTTTTTATATATGCTTTTGACCGTGCTGTGCGATTCTACAAATAGGTGTGTGATGAAAATGGATCACCACTGTCCTTGGATCAACACCTGCTGTGGTCACTTCAACCATGGGAATTTCTGCTGGTTCTTGCTGTTTGCGCCAATTGGCTGTATTCATGCCATAGTCATCCTTGCTCCTTCAATATATCGTGCTCTGAATTTTGTAAGTTTTCACCAAGGAGATATAATTATATGAAATAATACAGTAGCTTCGTCAGGGAAATATTATTTGTCAATTGTTTGAAGGTATCGTATTGTTTTTAAAAAATATTCTGTAAGGTTTTCTTATCATATGATATATAGGGCATGAATTCTCAGCTTCCTTTTAATTTCTCATTTAGATTTCTTTCCATTCAAAGATACTTTAAGAATTTGACACTCTCTTTCTTACTCTATTGCAACTGAAACAGAATGTGATTTTAAAAGTAGTCTTCCCCCCTGACGTATTGTCTGCTTCATTTGCTTGCTTTGAAGTTTTCAAAAAATTAAAGAAGTGCCAAAATCGGATGACCCTTGATTTAGGCACGGCACTCCTTAACTTTTCTGTTAAAAACCAGGAAGGAAATTACAAAATAGAAGGAAACTATCGTGTAAGGTGCCACTTGATGTCTTTATTAAAATAACAGCTTTATCTGGAAATTCTGAGAAATCAGTTCAGGAGATTATGGAATGACACTGATGATATGGTTTTTTCTAACATTCATAGATCCATTAAGCTCAACGTTTAAAGTTAAAATTTGTGTCTTTTGAAGTTGGAAGTATTGTGCTTGTTACAGCTTTGCTGGGAATTGCTAAGATTGATGCATTTGTTCTGAAAAAGTAAATGTGCTTTTATTTGTAAATCACATTCTAATGTACAGAATTTGTCATGTGTCTTTCATAAAGTAGAGCATACTTTTTTACTCTGCATGTTTAGACATTAACCTCTGTAGTACTACCTCTAAGACTCTAAGCACAGAAAAAGAGTTGATGTAGCTCTATTTGTTTCTAATAATAGGGTCTCGTTCTCTCTCGCCTAATCACAGCATCATTATTACTACTACAAGAGGGATGAGCCTCTTGTTTACCTGGGAGTGTGGGGCTTTGTGGTCACAATGTTTGGTGTAGGACTTGCCATTGGGGTCATCATAGCAGTCGGAATGCTCTTCTATATCCAGGTAAGTGTGGGTTGAATAGCCTTTTTTAGAACTAAACTTTTTTTTTTAATGTAGGTGTTTTTACACCCTCAGTGCCAGTATTTTTATCGTTTTGAAGATGGGCTTCCACCTTGCCTGTTATGGCCAACTCCAGGCTGAGAGGGATACAACGTCCCAAAAGAAAGACTGAGATGCTTGATAAAAATGTCCCCAGACAGGAATCGAACTCAGGTCATCTGTGTGCAATGGTGGAGCACTTAACTGCTATACCACAGATGCCAGGCAATTTGCTGTGATCTTGTAGAAATCAGGACAGCACTGCGTAAAATAAAATTGTGAAGTACCTGTCGAAAGCTAATTTTTTGTTCTGGTTTCATTTGTTTTCTTTTTCCTCCTTCATAGAAGTTTATTTCTTCCTCTGAAAACATATCCCCTTGTTCTGTTCCTCGTCTTTTGCTGTTTTAAAGTAACCATATGTTCTGATCAAATTTTCTTCTTTTGGTGGCAGTTTGTGAACATAAGCAACAAGATAGCATAAAAGTAGTAAGTGAAAACAATTTGTTTCAAATGCAGGCTGTATCAATTAGGCATCGCTAAGAAAGGGTTCTCAGTACTTTTCCCCACTGTCTTCTCAAATTTGTCAATGGTTTAAAAGTGTTATTGTAAGCATTTTTGTTATCTGTCTGTCTTCTTTCTTTGTCAGGTTTCATGTTTTGGGGTTGTTTTTTCTTCATTTCCCAGTACTGCATTATTATGATTATATCTGTGTGCTTCACTTCAACTGAAACAAAGTCATCTTTGAGGTACGCCTTACATAGCAATCTGTGCTGGATTGTTCCCTGCAAATGTCAGTGTCTCCTTGTAATCCTTTACTGTATTTATTCTTTTGTAATAGTAGTAAACTGTCTTTTATTTCTCATATTTTCAGATTAAAAGTGTTCTAAAAAACGAGACAGGCATAGAGGGATGGATTATTGAGAAGGTAAGTTATATTTCTACTTACACTATCCTTTATGTTGACTCTTGGATTTCTAAACAGTCACATTTGAGCCTTTTTAATTTGTGAGATGCATTATTATTTCTCATTATTTGGCATCATTGACCATTGGAAAATCCTGTGGACATTGAAAGTGGAGATTAGTTGATTTATCTTGGGATAGAGGCGTATGTACTTGGGAATTTAGCAAAACTGTATCTATAAAAAATGTTGATGTTTTGTGACATTGCTCCCAGAGAGTAGATGGAAGTGCCCTTTGTGAGGTAACAAAATAATGATGAATTGTTGCTGTTTTAATGGAAATTTTTTCTTCTCCTTTGCCTCATAAATGCATTGTTGTTTTGATAATTTCTTCTCAGGCATTAGACCGCATTAGAGATGATGAGGAAGGAGAATTTGTTTACCCGTATGATTTAGGATGGAAAGAGAACTTCAAGCAGGTGTTCCGGTGGAGTGGTAGACCGAAGTCGAATGGCTTCACCTGGGATGTGGTGCAGGATTGCCATCAGTACACCTTAACTGTGAGTTTTTATTGTTGGGGTTTTATTTCCTTTCTTCTCTCTTACTCTTTAGATGTTTCTTCAATTCTATTTGGTTCCTTTTCTTTTCTTAGAAATTTTATTCAATGCTTTTGTTATCGGACTATATATTATTATTTTCTCGTGCTATTTGTAAGCCTTCAATATAACTCTGTCGGTTTTGGGTTTTTTTTGGGTATTTATTTGCTTTGTCATTTGTTAGACGTTCTCTCTTCCTATATATCTGAGACTAGCTCAAAACTTGATAACTTTCATATATATTTCTTACATTCACTTCGACTTTATATTGAGGCTGTAGCTTTCTTAAAGCATTTTGCAATGGTTCCTCTGTCATTGCAGTTTCATATGTGTCACGACTTGTGGCATCAGGCGCTTGTCAATTTTCAGGCATATGGAGTTATTGGTATCATCTTAAATCTTGTTACTTGTATTGCTTTTTCTGAAAAAAATACCCGTCTATCTTGAATGGAAGTGGAGACACTTGTGATTGAAGGAGAGTGAGTCGCCTGATGTCAGAGGTCAGAGGTAAAATTAGCGAGAAAATGGCCGCCAAAGTTTGGTGATTTCCAAGGCTTGAGTGTCCTTGGGAAATGCTAATTTACATTTTTTTGTTCCTTTGCTCAACGATTTTCTATAAATCCACACAGAAATGTATTTTGAAATGGAATTAAAAGGTGTTGAGCTCAATATAAAAAAATTTATAAGAATTGCCTAATGAGTGTGAAAATGTCTGCTTCTTCAATTTTATTATTTTGACGAGCACCTGATCCCCTCTTGTAGCAACACATAGATATTTGTACCAATTGTGGTCTAACCTTTTGGATCTGAGAGCATTCCTCAGCATGGGGTGTGTAAATTGAACCAGAGGAGATCATATGCCTAGGTCTTGTGAACAGTAGATTTAGGGGACTAATGACGAAGGCTTAGAGGTTTAATAATACTTTATGAGTGTGTTCTGTGTTGATGTGATAATTGTCCAGTTACACTTAACACTTTCTGCCCACCCAGCGCGCAGAGAGCAGAGCCTTTGTTCCCCCACCTACCAGGATGCAGATGGGGTACATCTCTCAACATTTTTCAAAACTAATTACGCCAGTTGTTGCAAATAAACTGATTTTTTACCTCAAAGGACACACAAACCATTCAGGAAGGAAATTATAACTTTAAAAAGTGCACATGTCAAAAAGGAGATCGTTGCTACAACATTTTTTATGCTATATCACGCTGTTGCCGATCGGCGTTCCACGAGGGAGAGTGAGAGGGACAGTTTCTTACTGTCTCCGATCAGCATCCTGTGGGGGCAAAGTGTTGAAACAGTTCTTCTCACAGATGGAGGGCATCACTGGTGGGTCCTAATAGTTTTCTTTCCCTCTGTTTTTTACTTTTGCTTTATTTTCATGAAACATAATTTTACCTGACTCTTCTCACTCAGGCTAAATAAAAACGAAAAACAAAAACAAAAAAACAATTCTTCTCCCATCAGGTGGAGCAGCTAATCCAGAAACAAGACAAGCGAGACAGAACGATCGAGTTTGTAATCACAGAGAACTACTCCGGTGCCCTGTGTCCTGTCTCTAAAGGCCTTCGTATTGGCTGCTGTGTGCCTTGTACTGACGAGCCCAGAATAAAAGTGGAGGAGGGGGACAAAGTCTTGGTGACCAGATGGAAAAAGTAAGTTCTTTTTGTTCACGTTTTGGAGTTGGCTTCAATCTTTATGGGTGGTTTAGGGATCCTTGTTGGTGTGTAGCTACAGAGATGGATATTGGATCGAAAAGTATTTTTCTTAGTGTAGATTCATACAATGTTGCTGAAACGATTTTTAGTGCTAAACTGTTTTTAAATCTTGCACTTGAATTGCCATGAAGCCAAAATTATAAAGTCCATTTTACTTGACGGGGAGGTAATCTTGAAATTTTGAGCTATAAAGCAGGGATACTATTTATGTTTTAAAAATATTTGTTGAATTAATAAAATTTCTGAAGTGCATAGATTTATTTTGTTTTATATTTCTGAAAAAGGTAAACTTGTTTTGTTTTTTTTTGTCTCAGTGCATTAAACTAATGGCTGCTGCTCTGGCTCCTGGCATAGAACCTAGTGACTAGTGTGTCAACATTCTTGTCATTTTCTGAGGCATACTTGCATTTTATCAATAACGATCAAAAACCTTTTCATGCTTTTATATTAATGTGGAGGTTCTGCTTGTTGTCAATACAACTATGGTCGTATTTCATATATCTTAAGGAAAATGTTTTTAGGGGAAAGGTAAGACTGCTGACAAAACTTAACTATCAGTTAAAAAGTTAGTACAAAGGCTGGTCAACAACATATTTATCTGTTCGCTCAGTAATTGCCGCAGCTACTTTGTATTAGTTCTTTTCAATAAATGAGAATTTGAGTTATATATATTTCCCAGGTTTCTCTCATTGTATTATTTGTGTGCAAATTGATACAGGCATTAGGTAAAGGCAGTAAATTTTTGTGTTACCACAGCTTTGCAGAATATTAATAGAAGGTAACAGTACAGATTTTTGTTTTCTCACCGCTTGTTTTACTCATCTGGAGCCTGCAGCAGGGCTACATCAAGTATGCGAATGGAAATTGAAGCCATCACGAAAGCACTCGATTGGATGACCCAAGATCGCCCCCACACAACCCATGCTGTTCTTGTCACTGATTCCATTTGTACCCTCAGAAGGATCGAAAAAGGTTTCCTGAGAACAGAATGGATTCAAGCTATCGAACCAACGCCTATACGATCACTCACATGGATTTTCTACCCTGGCCATGCAGGTGTTAGGGGAAATGAAAAAGCTGACAGATTGGCTGGTGAGGCCACCTTAGTTGACAATACGGTTCAACCAGATAGGGTCGAGATCCTGAAATGTCTCTCTCGCCAGCTGATTGAGAAGGAAGATAGGGAGGCAGAGGCCAGTACTGCCGTGGAGAGGATGATGCTTTTGGGAATAAAAAAAGGAAGCGGAAAATCTGGCATCCTTGCAGGAAAGAACAGAAAAACGTTCAACCAGATGTGCACTGGCACAATCAGTAGAAGGACCCTCGGCAACATTTTGGAGAGAGCAACAGAGCATCAATGGACATGTCCGGAGTGCAGGGATGTTGCTTCCTGAAACAAGAACAATAACAATAACTCATCCCCTACCCAAGTTATTATTTTGTTATCTGTTGTGATACAAATGTTCCTTTTAATTTTATTTCACTCCAAACAACAAGGGGTTGGGTTTTTTGGTGTCTATTGGGATATAAATGTTTCTGTCACTCTTGTTTCCATTTAATAGGCGATGGCTTTATGGAACAAAAGTCCTGAGTGGCCCTGTGGTTGGTGCAGATGCAGGTCAGTGAAACTCAACAATCTCACTTTTTTCTTTTAAATTAGAAACCCCTGGACTTTTCTGTGCTGTTTATTTAAAAAGGAAGTGCAATTTTGTTTTTAGCTATTTTAGGAATTATGAATACTGTCAAACTTGTCCAAGACGACCATCCCTGTTTAGGGAAAAAAATGGTCATCATAGACAGCCTTCCCCAATAGGACAACGCTACTGGCTGAAGTGTCTATAAGCCATTCCCAAAGGGGAGATATTAACATGTTCTTATGCACAGTAGAATTGTAAATGGGCTGATTTATCTGTGTCATGCTCATACTGTGCCTCAATGTCATGCTCATACTGTGCCTGAACTACATGGGGGAACTTCTTTTTCTTGCCTCGTCCTATCGTTATCTTCCTCTACTTCTTTTGTATGTTTGTCACTCTCTTGTGAACTGCTATTTTCAGGGTGCCTTGATAGTTGAAGCAGACTTAGTGCTGTTGAGGCTAGAAAGGTGAGCAGAGTAAGCCTGATTCTCGGTTTGGACTTCTTTGTTGACATCCACCCCTTTGCGCTCGTATGACCTTTTGCAGTTGCCTGTGCAATAAAACATTACTAAAACTAAACTAGACAGGTGGTCCTCTTGGACAGTGCCATAATAAAAACAGAAAAAAAACTCGCTATTACCACTCTGTACTGGATAATGGTTCCGAATTTTGCATGATTCCCAGTACATGAGTGGGGCCATAGGAACAGTACTGTTTTATCACCCAAACTATATACACACTTTTTTCTTTTTTTTTTTCTTTTTTTTTCTTTTTTTTTTTGTAACATTATATTCAAGAGTATTCTGCTGGCATTTCCCACGTCTGCTACACCCGTGTCTGTGGTGCAGCAGTTAAGGACTCCACTGTCACATAATGCAAAAGCCCTAAGATTCCCATATGAAGATAATTTTTATCGAGTATTTTGGTCTTTCTGCTGGGATGTTGTATCCCTCCCTGCCCATGTTGGCCCTGACAAGCAGGATTGAAACTCACCTCCTAAATGATCTAAATCTGTTACATACTTCAGTTTTGTAATTTTTCTCAAGCAATCTTATTAAAATTCATTTTTATGGTCGTGTTGATCATGAATTTTTATGGCCTGCATTTCTTTCTGGCCCCTTTACAGCAGGCAAGAGGATAAGAGGATGGTTCCCACGGAGATGTGCTGTGGAGATAATAGACGACAACATGAACGACAAAAAGGACTCGTAGAATTACGCTGTAGTTGCGACAATTTACACTGCCTGATGTGTTTGTGTGAAGTTGTAAGGGTGAAGAAGAATACTGTGTAATTTGTCAACGTTATTGGTCCCCCTTTCAAAAGACTTCACTTCTGAAGATATTCTATGTTGTCTATTATTATAAATTATAATGTGGAAGTTTATAATTTGTTTGTATGGTATCAAGTCATATATTATGCTTGTGTTTATAGGTTGACTGTTTATGACTTTGCCTCCTGCTCCACATTCCTAGTAATGTACTCACGGGCAAAGTGAGCCATCGATAGGGAGCAAAATGGTAAAAACTGTTGCAAGCAGTCGCAGGAATTGTGTGGAGTTTTATTTTAAAAGACAGCATATCCAGTTTCCTAAAATGTTCAGGAGAGGCCAAAAATAACCCACATCATTACCTCTTATGGACCAATTGCTTTGAGTAACTTCAAAACAATTTCACTCCTTATTTATTAAGGTATCAATACCAGACTAAGTCAGAAATGCGTGCCGTGTTTTAAACTATCAGGTGAAATCGATAGCTTAGTTTCGCCTAAAACGGGATATACTGTCTTTTAAAATAAAACTCCAGTGGTTTCTCTGCAACTGCACAATGATCGACCACTTATGGAATTATACTTTTCACTCAGACTAAGATTTATACAAGTGTTTGGCTAAATGATATATTTGTGACTATGATCAGCTGTTCTTACTGCTGTTGTTTGTTTTTTTTACCAAGACAACTTTCATTTCATGCCACCTCCATTAGAAACTAACTCCTATTTATCTAGTGTCCTAAATCAGGTGATCTGCTATTTAATGCTAAAGATACTTTTTTTTCTTACATTTCTCTGGTTTCATTTATTTTGTAGGCTCTTTTTTTTAAATATCATGTTCTTAAAAATTACTGCTTGACATATATGTGCTGCTGTGCGCATTGTAAACATTAAGCATTTATCAGGGAAGAGAAGTATGGCATCTGCTGCATTTTTTTGTACTTTACACAGATTTTTTAAATTGTTCTCTTTCTGGTTGTCTTTCATGATAATAGGATGAAAGGAATGGAAACCCAAATCCAAAGTTCTGTCATCTTTTATTCTGTTTCTGTCAGAATTCCAATGAAAGAAGCATCTTCAAAAATCATGCAGATTTCTAAGCATACATTACTGATTTGGTCTTTAAATCGAAACAAGAGAACTTATTTTGTTAGTTTTTCATTTAATTAATAAACCCCCCGGTAAAAAAAATGTCTTTGGCAATGGCAGAGAAGTAATTTGACGTCGAAGTCTTCGTAAAGGAATACTGGCACAGCAATCCGACTGCAAACTGCTGGGAGCGGCTTGCCCGAGATAAGGAATTAAAATGTTCCCATAAATGTTCAGGGGGGGTTGTTTTTTTTCAAAATTATAGTATTATTGGGAAACAAAGAATGTTTGACTTCAAGTTTGTCTACAGAAACCTGAGCAATGTTCCATAGGTTTGGAGGAGTTGTTTTTAAGAATTGGGTTTTGTAATTACTTTATTTTTTTACCACAGAGCTTCTTTCCTCAGTATTTTTTTTTTACAGATGCATGTGTACTTGATATTGAATTAATTAATTGTTTGTGATTATGTATTACTACTGTAATTCTTCTGAGCTGGGCGAGATGTTAGCGTCGCTTTTCTGTCAACAGCCCCTCTCCGTGATCAAGATAAGATAATGCTCAATCCTCCTTTGCTGTTTCAGCTATGAAAGTCTCCATTTGAAGAAACGTTAAATTACAAATTGAACAATTCCATTCCGGATGAAAAGCCATTTCTTTTATCTATTATTGAGGGATGTAGGCTAAGCATTCGTTGCCACATAAATCTCACTGTTTTGTAAAGTATATTTGCATTATGTGGCTTTGTTTTGATATCATTTGTTAAGTTCATCTATTTGTTCTGCCTGAACACAATGCTTATCCATGATCAAAATATCTTTTGTATGTATGATTTGAATTCAAGAATATTATTCATTACCTTTAAGACGAATAGGGGTGATTCCAGTTATGCATCAGCTGACTAGAATTTTTCTTTTAAATAACATATGGCAACAATTTTTTAAAATTCCCATCTTGAGACAAGATATGATATGTATAGATAATTAACTATACCTGTGCCTTGACTGTTCTCTTCACTACATTTTGCTCTCTGAATTTATATCCTGAGTATGCATTCTTGGCAGTATCTGTTTTTCTTGCTATTTTTTTGACGAATTTTTCTGCATTGGTAGTGGTTGGATTTTTCTATTGCTTTGTCATTATTTTAGTTCTTCTGTGATGGGATGTTTTAGTAGGATATTTTCTTTCCCATGTTTCTTTTGTAGTGAGAAATCATACTGAAATGAGTTTTTTATCTATCAACATGTATTTGCATTTCATGGCACTGAATTGCAGCCATCAAAATCAGTCTTTTCCTATGTTTTCGGTAATATGTTTTGTTAAGATAAAATGTAATAGTAAATGCTTTTGCTTGCTGTCCTTGAAATTTACATTCCTTTGTTTTATTTTGGGGTAGTTTGATGGTATTAGTCATAAAAAGGAATCTGAAAAATCTGATATTTCACTCTTATTTAGTAATTGATTTTAAAAATATATCTGAGTACTTCTCTTTACCTCAACTGGTTTATGTAATTTGAGAGCTATAGTTGCTCATATTCTTTTTGCTTCTAAGGTATATCTACATACTGTAGATGTGCTTTCTGTTCTCTGACTTTACATTGAAGACTTTTTGGTATTCCCAGGCTTCTTAATCTGATGGTTTACATTCATGAAAGGTTTTTTTTTAATTTTACATTGAGAGCACGGCTATTTTGCTTTTTGTAAATCATTTGTAACTGTTTTCTCCTCATCTTGCATGCTTTTGGAAAGCTGGCAGAGGTAAAATATAAATAATTATTCAAATGAGCAAAAGTTACTTTAAATCGGGCAGTGAAATCACGCTTTGCAAGTCAAAATTTGACAGTTGTGGATTTTTTTTACCCCAAGGAGAAGTGAATACACTCAAGGTCTAAAATATTGCGTAATATCTCTTTTCTTCATGTCTTGGTATTACTCATTGAAGTGTTTTCTTACTCCATTTCTGCAACGAATTCTATGTTGAATTACCTGTTGTATGCTGAACATCTTTTCTCTAAATAATTTTTTTTTTTTTTTATGTGGTAGACCCTTAGTTATTTGCCAGTCACTCGTGTTCTCTCTCTTTCAGATCTTTATCTCATCCATTCTTTCAGACACTACCTCTCAATTCTATGTGTTGACAGATGTCTCTATCTCGTCGCTTCCGCAAGCATTCCACTTTTGTTTAAATTTTAGGAATTTTCGATTTTGAAACCCTCTCAAAGCTCTCAAAGATGCACCTTTCAACATCACCAAAACGTAGGTTAATACTATGGTCAAGGCTTACAATTTTCTTGCTTTTCATGATTCTTGATAGGAACAACACTACAGAAACTATATGTGAGGCAGTGTGGTGGAATCAGGCTCTCGTCAATTTTTGGGCATGTAGAGTTATTGGTATCATCTTAAAGCTTGTTCATTTGTCTTTATTTGGATGAGAAAAAATATCTATTTACCTTGAATACAAGTCGAGATATTTGCAAATGAAGGAGGTGGGGGTCAGTTGTTTTCAGAGGTAAAATTAGTGAGAAAATGGCCACCAAAGATTAGTTGTTTCCTTAGCTTAAGAGTCCGTGGTAACTGAAAATTTACTTTTGTGTGCCTTTAATCGACGTTTTACGGAAAAATCCACACAGAAATGAGTTCTTTAATGGGCATGAAAGGTGTTGAGTCAAAAAACAATATTTTATAAAAATTCACAAACCTGCGGAAAAATGCAAGTTACTTCACTTTGATTATTTTTACGAGAGCCTGATCCCACCACGCTGCCTCACATATATTGTCTCTGACGTAAAAAATACCCGAACAGACTTAGGTGGATTGCTTGTGGTACCAACGATATTTCATTGAGTCTTTGTTGTTTCTATCTATGCATTTTACTACTGATGCTGGGATCCACATGAGACAGTAAATATTTCTTTTTTTATTTCACATTCCTGGTGTCTCGTTTGCCCTGACCAGAGGGAAGGGCTTGGAGTTCACTTTTGTCTTAGGGTTATTATTTATTTACTATTACCTTTAAGTAAGGGTGTTATTTTGTCAGCTGTGGTGTAGATGTCTTGCAAGATCCTCTCAGGGGAAGGATCTGCTATAGAAACAAATGAAAGTAAAGACAAGGGGGAGAGGGGTGGGAGGGGGAGATAGCAGGGTCACATTTTTTTCTCATTGTGGCTTCTGGACTCTTCAGTCTAACATTGTGTGAGATTTTAAATGAGATAAACAACAGGGTCTGTGTAAAAATGAATGGAGACACTTTTTTATATACACATACCCTCAAATATATGAGGATTCAAACTTTTAAACTAAGATTTCTCGAAATCAATAAAATGTGACTCAGCTTTTTTCCCCCTTTCACTTGTTCAATGTTTTTTATATGATGCTGTTTTTGAATGCTGATGAGTTATAAATTCTGTTTTGTGTGACAGTCAGAAAGTCATTATCTCAAATATATGAAAGGGAGACAAGCCTGCTGAGTTTGGTTTTGTTTGTAACAAGTTATTGGAGTTATGCATCAAAGATTGTTTTAAGTTTTAGTAATAACAACCTACACCTCGTACTTATGGGTAAAACTTACAAAATACGTAGTTGCTAATGAATATTCATTTATCAAAACACCTTCAATAATGTAGTGATTGTGCAGTATTCATGCCTTACCTCATTAGCTTAGTCTGTCTTTTACTGTGACAAGGATATGGTTATGATAAATTGTTTCTTAAGACTACAAAAAAATCTCTGATACCAGTTACATCACCAACATTTTTTTAAAATCTTCCTCTAGTAGATTCAAACAAGATGTTCTTTTATTCCTGAGACAAAACATAAAAGATGATATGGTCGTATTGCGTGTTATGACTTTGACGAGAAAAATCTTGAACGGTTCTCTTTTTTTATAAAAAGCTTTGCAGTGCATAGTGAACTGTTGCCAAATGAGTGAATACTTGCGTTTGAAGAGGCTGGGGGATTTTGCTCAAACCCCCTGTCCTTGTATGGTAACCTTCCTTCTGTTGGTTACTAGATTTTTTTTTTCAACCAGGCTTGACCTTCGGTTTCCACAGTTTTGCCAAATTAGCTGTACATTGTACAAATTTAAAAAGTCTATGTCAATTCTGCTAGTTGGGGTTTTGTTTTGTTTTTTGGTGGGGGGGGGGGGAGGTATTTTTTATTAAAGAAAATTATATTTTGTTAAATGTTATCTTTTTATTGCTTACCCTCTAATCTTGTTTTCTTCATTTGACTTCCCATTTTAGAAACTTGTAATATCCATTTTATGCTAAAAGTATTGCGAAATTTCGAAAGTTTGAAAAGGGTACTCTATTTCCAAGATACTTTAACTACAACTACAAGATTCAGTAAAAAATTGGAGGTCCCAGCTGAGCCTAAAGGTGCAAAGAATGATAACAGATTTGAGTTGTAATGTAACATTTCTAGTTCAAAAGGTACTTAATGGCCTCTCAATTGGTAGATTTGGCCAAGTTCATGTTTAGTCGCCATTGCTAACACCATGGATAAAAAGGTTATTGGTGACAAAAATCAGTGAATTTGAAAAATGCTTACACAGTGGAATAAAACGCATCTGAACAGGCTGAAAAAAATATGGCCTTTTGTATATTTTATGCAAAATCATGATCTGTAGGTTTTTTAAAGTGTTGTTTCAGATCTTATAGTTATAGTGTTTAAAGAAAGAAGTAGGTCTAAAGCGAGGGATCTGCACAAAGAACAAAATTATGCTGATCTGAATTTTCAAAAAAGACTCTTCTTAGTGTAGGAAGATGCCCGAAAATACTGGTAGTTATCAAAATGCGAGAAAGAGGAAAAAGTTATAATGTCACTGACTATAGGCTGAAAGCTATTGTCAGGGTTTTTTAAATGCTAAAATCAAGGGAAGGAATGCAGCTATATAAATGCAGTAGGCCTACTTGTAGATCTAGGTAATTTACCTCCTTTCTCCGTTGTGTGACTTGTAAGAAGCTACAATAATGCAGTAAAAGTGGGGGGGGGGGGGCGGGGTTGTCTGTTGGAATTTTGTACTCTTCTATTTTTGCGTGTGAAATGACATGACTGTTATGTTTTGTGGCTTCTGATTTTTTTTTTTTTTTTTTTTTTTTTTT